TGGCTCGCCCCCGCCCCCCATTCTTCCCTGGGAAAGTATAGATTTTCACGAACACAGGGAGTTCTGTTTTCTCTGTTAAAAACAACTCTCCTTTACTGGGGCAGGCTTTGTGTTTCACCCAAGGAAACAGAGCATTGCACTGGGAGGTAACTCCGCTGGGTGAGGTGCAGCCTGTCACCTGACCGGTCTCTGGGGCTGCCGGTGGCATCAGGCTGCATTCCTTGAATTCTTCCACCCGGCACCGGCTCCGCAATGAACAACTTCAGGTTCACTGAGCTGAGCGGATTCCACTCGCTGTGCCCTCGGAGCCTGCCTGAATCTCCCGCCCAGCCTCAAACCATGCAGCTGAGTAACTGCAAGGGCGCCTTTGAGGAGTAGCACGCAGGTAAAGTCGAGTTTGCGCGGGACAGCTGTGACTCCCTGAAATGTGCCGTGTTTGGGGCCGTCATTTCTGTTTTTGTAGTTACTTGTTATCCTTTCAGAACGCTAATTCGTGCCTTTTTCTCCATCGGAGTGTCAGTAGATTAAGCAGGATAAACCTTTTTCCTGAGTGTTGCTGCAATATTTAAAAGTACAAATCCAGTATATCTGGTCCACGTGGATTTTTATGAAAAGCTTTCCAGCAAATAACGAAAAAAAGAGAGTATGTATGTTGTGAAGTTTGTTCTGTTTCTTAGCAATTTCCCGCATACTTAAACTTTCAACAATATTACTCTAGAAGCAGAGCAAAGGGATACTTTCTTTAGGAGGTGACCCTTACTGGAGGAACACTCAGTTTCCAAAACGTGTGTGAAATCTCAGGGAGAGGGAAGTGTTAATGAAGCTGCAGTTCTCTTCTCCTCCCCTGGGGCTCGGAGCGGTGGCTCCCTACAGCCATTCCGTTCACCTGCTCGAGTTCCTGTTGAAAATTGTTTCCTGCGTGGCTCGCCCCCGCCCCCCATTCTTCCCTGGGAAAGTATAGATTTTCACGAACACAGGGAGTTCTGTTTTCTCTGTTAAAAACAACTCTCCTTTACTGGGGCAGGCTTTGTGTTTCACCCAAGGAAACAGAGCATTGCACTGGGAGGTAACTCCGCTGGGTGAGGTGCAGCCTGTCACCTGACCGGTCTCTGGGGCTGCCGGTGGCATCAGGCTGCATTCCTTGAATTCTTCCACCCGGCACCGGCTCCGCAATGAACAACTTCAGGTTCACTGAGCTGAGCGGATTCCACTCGCTGTGCCCTCGGAGCCTGCCTGAATCTCCCGCCCAGCCTCAAACCATGCAGCTGAGTAACTGCAAGGGCGCCTTTGAGGAGTAGCACGCAGGTAAAGTCGAGTTTGCGCGGGACAGCTGTGACTCCCTGAAATGTGCCGTGTTTGGGGCCGTCATTTCTGTTTTTGTGGTTTCTGTTTCTCCTTACAGAAAGCTGATTCGCCAGCAAATACCTGTTAAAAAAAAAAAAAACTAAATAAGGAGAAGGTGGGCCTCAGATTAGAACCCCTTAAAGATTAGGGAAAGAAATTATGAAGGAAGCAAATTAAAGGCAGTAAAAATTGTATAAACCGGTTTTTAAAATCATTCACAAAGTATGAAATTTTGGAGTCTGGCCTACCTGAATGTGAATATTGGCTGTGTGTGTAACCTTGGGCATAATACTTAACCTCACTGGTCCTGTTTCCTCTTAGGTGGTAATATCTACCTGCAGAGTTGATGGGAGAACTAAGAGAAGCGTCTAGTGTCTAGTAAAAAGGTTGATGTGTAGAAAGTATTTGCGTATGTGCACATATGTGCATGTGTGTATATGGTGTGCTTGTGTGTATATGGTGCATGTATATGTACACATGCACACAGGCCACAGGACTATGACATTCATAAGGGTAGGGAGTTTCTCAGAACATGAGGTAGAATTTGATCTGGCTCTGACCTTCCCTGCTATTGCAAAAAGACCAGCAGGAGAAGCCAGACACCTGAGCAAAATATTAATGAGAGCTGCTGAAAAATAAATAATGTGCCTTGCCAGTCCTTATCTAGGAAGGGATGTGCAGCATGTGGAGGTACTCACTGAATGAGAGCTGATGGGAAGAGAGGCAGCTCAATAATAATTATCTCACACAGTCATGAATATAACTATCCTGGGAGACCAGCTGCATTCAATCCTAACTTGGCAACTTACTCTTCAAGTGCCTCTTGAAGGCTGGTGGTTACTTTCCTCTCTAAACATCAGTTTTTATTGCATGGAATTGTCATAAGAATTAAGTGGCTCAGTATGTGGGAAGCACTGAGATAAGTACCTGACACATGGCAAACACCCACCAAATGTCAGTTGTGCCATTATTTTATAAAGGACTCCATTACGCATTATCACCTGTGACCCTCAAAACACCCTGATGAAACAGACGAGGTGTTTATTAGCCCCATTTTGCAAATAAGAAAACCAAGGCTCAAGAAAGGAAAAAAAAAAAAAAAAACATGAACTAAAGGTCCCATAATCACAGAGTAGCTGAGCTGGGACTTGACCCTCGGTTCCTAGATGAGCAGATGACTTAGTATGAACTCAGCACAAGTGCATTGAATGAAATCTGTAAAAATCTTAGTTATCCTAAAGGTGCTTCTCAAATGCCATTTCCTCCATGAAGCTATTCATTATCATCTTCCCCTGGAAGTGACTTCTCTCTCCCTTGTACTTCCCCAAACTTCTTTTTGTGTTATCCAGGAGATTTTTCTTGGTCACTCCCATATTGTAGAAGGTGTTTTGAAGATCACTGTTGAAAATGTGCAAAGGAGCCCTTTGTAAAATAATGTGCAAGTTCCACCTCTCCCCACTCCACCCCTAGGTTTGTGTAAGCTTTCCTGTATGGCTGTGTGTTAAACAACTTGATGTTTCTGTTTAGGGCCCAAAGCAATGTTTTGCATGCGATGGGCCCTCCAGAGTAACAGCTGAAGTTGGAAGCATGAATGTGGGACTCCACACCAGGTGTCACGTAAATGTGAAGTGTGCAGAAAGAGCCCAGGAAAAGCCTGGGGGTGCTCCTCTGTACCAGCACGTATTTCTGCTCCTTCTTGGAGCTCCTGAGCATCTATGACTGGGGCAGCTGAATGTACTTCATGGAGTGCCACATGTCCAACAAACTGACAGGTCAGGTGAAGTCATTTCCATCCAGTTTTCCTGAATATTATTTTATTGAGACTCTTGTCACTGTAAATATCTGAGCCTGGGAGGAAAATGTGTTAAGAGAAAAATGTAGGAAAACACTGTGCCGATTTTTCTTAGAGATATTGTGATTCACTCTTCCACATTTCCCAGGGTGCAAACTACTTTGCAGTACCTCACTCTGTGCTCCACCTGCCTCTGAAAGCTTACCACTCTCCTTTGCTCTTCCTCCAAGCATCTTCTCCTTGTGACTCTCTTGCTCTCTGGTTGCTCTAAATCCCAGGGCATAGAATGGGCAAGGATCCAGGAGCAGTGTAGAAGGGGACAGGAATTTATTTCATTGCTTAATAACCCTGCTCACACCTTCATCACTAAATATTAATAATGCTCTGAGGACCTTTACTCCTTACAGTAGCTTCACATCTTACATGGAGTCAATATTTCATAATGGTTATGAACTTGGAGTCTAGCACTACTGGGGTCTCTGAATTCAAATTCCAGCTCTCCAGCTTGGTAGCTGCATGACTTTAGCAGTTATTTAACTACCTCAGTTTGCTCACCTACAAAGTGGGGATGATATATCTTCATATAGTTATGAGGATTAGAAGAGTTAATATTTACAAAGTGTTTATGCCTGGTACATAGATAAAGGCATGTAAGTATCAGGCTTCATTTTTCAAAAGCTGGTAGATAGTACAAAAATTGCATATAGGCAGTATTTTCCTTAAAATCCCTATGACTCATGAATTGTACCACTTAGAATACTACAGGTAGCTTATTTAGTTGAGTGTCTAATTAAAGATTTGGCTTGTATTTAGAGGCCATGTTGTGTGAAGAGTATGTGTCTTTAAACTTGCATTCAACACAAAGAGGTGCTCTCAAACAATAGCTCAGAGGAGAGGGCTGAGACTACCCAAGGGAACAACAGATTCTCCTCTCCCTTTTCACACTCTTTCTGACAAACACATTCAGAGTAAAATGCTAGGCAGAATTGCCTATTGCTTATATTAAATAACTCACTCTTGGCTCTCACTAAGCATGTGGCTGCATTTGTAAGTTACCCACATGTATGAGGTGATTCCCCTCTACTGTAAACTGTGAGGGAAGCACACTGGACTGAAATCAGGAGACTATCCTTGCCACAGCTATTATGGGGCCTTGGGGAAGTCATTAAACCTCACTGGCCATTAAATGATTACTAAGGTCTCTACCAGTGCAAATGGTCTGTGATTTTATTAGGCCCAGAAGGGAGCTGATGAGAATAATCAGATGTCTAATTTGTGCCTTTGGTCTCCTCTCTATAGACTGTTAATTAGGTGAAAAATATAGTGGGACTTTATTATTTCAACTGGAATAGAGGGAGGGTTGCCTGATCTCAAAGCCCTCCTTTTAGCCTTCATGGCAAGGCTATCATGTTCATTTAAGTGTTCAAGTTCATCTTCATGTTCAGTAGAGATTTATCTAATGCCATTCTCCTAAGCCGCATCCTTTATTTTATTACTACTTGATTATAGAGTACGTAGGAGTAGGGTAAGTACTGAGGACACCTTTTTGACTGACAGAGGGGGGAACTTCTCCTGTTAGCATAGCAAGGCAGCCCAACCAAGAGGGTAAGCACTGGTTTCTGTGTCCAGGTTCTGGAAGAAAGGGTTCTAGGAAGTGGGTCTAGGAGATGTTTCCTATGCTCCCTCTTTTCCTTTTGTTCTTCCTTTCTGTTTGATTCCCATGAGAATCTGTTTGAGGAAAATCTGGCAAGTGTTAGGCATGATTATTGTTTGTCCTTGTGACATGGAGAGAAGAGAAGGATATAGAAAGGAGAAAAGTGTGGGGCTCATGTTGACTTTTAAAGTTCGAATTAAATTCTGGAGAAACCTAGTAACTTTTGACAAGACTTTTTGAGACAAAAACAAAGAAAGAGCTCATTTAAAGATCATTAAGCCGGGATCTATTACTCCAGGCACATGTTTCCAAGTTTCTTTTTTCTCTCTCTCCGCTGGACACCGAGTTCACATTCTGAGCTTATGCCATTCTGCCAGGGGCTATATTGTGTCATTTGTTTCCCTTGCAGAGAGTGTCAATGAAGACCTCAAAGTCTGGAGAAAAATGATCTTTCATGGAATAAGAAGTATACCTCCTGCTACATGTTTTTGTCTTACTGACCTCTGATACCTGAAACACATGGCTCTGGGTCTGTAGAAAGTCAACTGATCAAACTCCTCCTCACCATGCATCAACTGTTCAGACTGGTTTTGGGACAAAAAGATCTTTCACGAGCTGGGGACCTCTTCTCCTTAGATGACTCTGAGATTGAAGACAGCCTGACAGAAGCTTTGGAGCAAATTAAGATAATTAGCTCATCCTCAGTAAGTAAACTGGTTTACAGACTGCATCTCTGAAATGGCCTATCCTAGAGCTAGAGATTTGTACATATCCTGGCAGAAGAATCTTTGCAGGGGAAAGAGGAAATACCACTAATATGGGTCTTTCTTAACTCTGCTCTGTGGTTTTGTTGGCATCTAAGAAATAACAGTAGGGAAGTCATGGCTTAGCGGGGGCAGTTAGATTGTCTTTTGCCCACTCACAAAGACCAGAATTCTGAAAATTGCAGACCAAGGTGGAATTCTCACAAAAATATTATTTAGGGGCTATTTTTATTTCCTTGAAATGACACTGAGAGGAGAGGGAGCAAATCCAGGGAAAAGCAGACCTGCAGAGCAGCACAATAGCATCGGTAAACAAGAGCAGGGTGTGTGGGGGAGGCTGAATAATGAAAGAAGGCAGGATGACACTTCCTGCCACGCAGGTAATATGAGACAAGGACAACAATCGCTCGGCTGCCAGAAGTGACAGTTGCCCAGGGCTTGATAACGCTGATTCTGTTTACTTCTGTAGTGTCTCCATTTTTTATCTTTCTCTTGCTTCTTTTTCTACCCACCCACACCCCTGCTCCCTGGACCCGCCATTTAATTCCACCCACCCATTATTAGTCCCCAGTGTGATCAGACAGATGTAAAACCTCCCATCAATCCTTGCATTCCTTTGCTTCTCTTCAATGTCAAGATTATGAATTCTGAAAGCACTTCCCAAAGGGGATGGATGTGGAGTGCCCAGTGTGCTTTCATGTTGACCGTCTTGATTATACTTGGACCTTCCACGAGACTGGTCCCACTTCAAAGGCCTAGGGCCACCAGGCATCCACCCACATCCTCCCAGCTCAGCAGTGTTTGCCAACACTTGGCACAGACACCCATTGGGAAGAGGAAAGTGGTGGGGCTCAAGCCATACAATACTGAACTGGCAAATGTGTGTGTATTTCAGAAACAACAGCGCTCTTCCATGTTACAAAGAAGATATATTTGAAAGGTATAGTGGCAACCTATGCAGCCTCCTCTTCAAGCTTATTTTCTCTTGCTGGCTGCCATTAACATCCCGAACTCCCCCCAGTGACCAATGAAGTCACTGCTCAAAAAACTCTTCTTTTTCTCAGGTAACGTCTTTGATGGCAATTACTCATCCACATCTTTTCCAGAACATTAATCAACTTAGTTTGACTCAAAGCACAACATGTTCCTGGTACATTTTCATTTTCTGGGTAAGATTTTTGTCCTGTTTTCAGAAGCCCATTCTTTCACAGTCCTCTGCAAATAAATTGGCTGAAAATTACACTGGGTTTTCATCTTCTTAATAGGAAAGCAAAACAAAACAGAAATCAAAGATCACATAGGTTCCCTAAAGCCTACTTCCACTAGAGGTCACTAGTGGCCAGTTATTTGTTTTGTTTCCATCATTATTTCTTTTGTTTCCATAATTGCTTGTTTCACAGACATCAAATTCAAAATTTTAGGACTGGTGACTCAGTTCTATTATATAGCTCCACTGGTTAACTATTAAGGCTGGCAGGTCCCTTGTCATTAGGATCATCGTCCATTCCTTAAGCTGTCCAAATAGCATCTCACTCTACCAGGAGTTCTGGAGAGCCAGTTGTTGTGTCTTCTTCATCTACTAACTTTTACCACATCTGACTTCTTCCATTTCTATATCTGTAACCCCTTCATGGAGCAGAAGAAAAATAGTAGCTTCTAATTTATATATATCAAGTTTGATGTTACCAATGCCAGCAGCTCCTTATCTTCCTTTTCTGATTAGCACATGGAACCACCATGCCTGCTCTATGGCTTACTTCCCTGTTAGCTGTGTCCCATCCTTCTCTCAGATCCAGCCCCAGCTATTCCTCTCTAGGCCTTTCCTAATGACCTTGGATCTCAGTAATCAATTCCACTTCTCAGTTTCTCTTCAGAAATGTAGAACAGGAAGGGATCTTCTAAATTGCCTTTTCCAACTTCCAGCACAGAAGATTGCTGAAAAATAGGTGGCTTCTCCTGCACTTGCAGTGATGAGAATATGCTGGGTTTCTAATATTGTTACCTGCTCCTCAGTTCCCTTTGGTAAATTGTCCCTTTCCGTTGCATGAAGCCTTGATGGCGTCTCCATCAAGGTTACCTACCATGAGTGCCCACTACCCTTCCCTATCAGGGGTGGGGGAGAGAAGAGGTGAGACACATGGCCCAAGCTTGAAAATCAGAAGTTTTTCCCCAGTAATTTTAAGAAAGATATCAGCAGAGGGTGATTTATCATGAGGACAGTGCCCTGAAGAAACAATACTTTACTTCCTCCCCCTCCATCATTGTAGCTGCCTTGATCACTGCTCCTTTTAAGGCCTGGTCCTTCACTTTCTCCTTCAAATATGTGGGCCACCTCTTATCTTCTTATTATTGCTATTATTATTATTATTTGCTGTACTTATTCAGACTTTTTCTGTTGCTTATGATCAAAGAACCTGACAAAGAGATAGCTGTTTCATTGTTGGGAGTTCAAATGGTTAACATGTTCCTCTGCTTAGCCAGATGAAATCTTACTTTGTACTTTCTAACTGTTGTCTCTGTTCTGGTCTCTGCCCCCAACAATCAAAAGAGACTACCCTCCATTTCTACAAGAAAAACTTTAAACCTTTTGAAGATAAGCACCAGGCTTCACCTCTGGCTTATCTCCTCCCAGCTAAACACCTTAGTGTTTTGGGGTTTTTCCATGAAAAAGAAGGAGCCTGTGTCAGGGAAAGGTTACACCACCTCATGTTGTAGCCCTCAATTGTCAGATCTGGAAAACTCAATTTTGTTGGTACCTGAGAAATGCTATCCAAATCATGCTATCCAAACACAAGACTTGGAAATATAAATTAGAACACGATGTATTGATTTACAATGAAAATTATAACTCATACAGATCAGAATTCTTGTGTGTTTCATGCTGTTCTCCTCAAGTCTGTTTACTCAGTCTTTCTTTGGATAAGAAATACTTTTATTGATTAGGTTTCTTCCTCCTCCATTGCAATCACATTCCAGCCCTTCCTCCCTGAGATTACATCTAACTCACTTGCAAAGTCACCCATGAAAAAGTAATGTCTTGGTTTAGGCCTGTACTGGCTAATCCCAGTCATACGAGTGGACTTTATTGGTTTAATCCTCAAAGGACAATCTTGTTTCTACCTTGTTAGAGAAGGCTTCATTGAAGCTCCCAAGTATTGCCTACACTCTTAACATTCTGGTTACCCGCCTTTGGAATAGTCCTAATTTATTATTGTAACTTATGGTTGCCCAATGCTCAGACCAATTGCTTAGAACAACTACTAATACTAGTCAAATATTCTGTGTTTTTAAAAAATCAGTTGTCCACATTTATCTTGTGATGTGCTAAGGCATTCTGGTTGAATCAAGACTTGTAATTACAGAAGTTTAAATTTTTTAAAGTGAATTCTGCCACATTTTAAACAATGCAAAAAAAATTATTGTCTTTAAGCCCTCATTCCAGAATATGCCTTTTAAACATCATGATTCTGTCAAATATATTACTTATCACTTTCAGCTCTGTGGAATCCAAAAATGTGGCAAACAAGCCTCCAATCCTTCCCCTAGAGCCACTCACAAAATAATTAAACCTTACTAGATTTCACTCTCCAGTCCATGTCCTCTTTTTCTACCAGTTACTACAAAATACTGCTATGAAATACTTTGCCCTTATGTTTCACTTTGAAAATGTGACTCCTCAACTCAATATCCTCTCCAAGTTCCCAAACATACCTTTAAGTTTTGTCTTTTCATTTCGAGTCCTTTCTAGACCACTTTTACCTAATAATCACTTGTACGAACTTGGCTTTCCTCCCAGGCTACTCCAAATGAGATTGTCTCATCCACTTCTCCCACCTTTCCCTTGGTGTTCACCTTGTGCCCAACTGATCCATCCACCTTCCAGTACTCTTTATTTTTCTTTTAACAATGAAACACACCAGGCACACAGAATCACCCACTTTAACATGTTAGGTACAATTGAAAATCCCTGCATATCTGTTTTTAATCTAATTCTCCTCCGTCATGCTTCCCAAGGTAACCAATATCCTGCTTGTGGTATTTAGCTATGCATGTTTGCTTTTTGTTTTTGTTTTTGCTACATATCCATGGTTCCAAAGTGAATTATAGCATAATATTTCGTATTTTTAAACTTTATATAAATGTTGTCATAGGGCTCAAATTACATTTTTGAGATTTGTCTATATTGGTGCATGTAGTTTCAACTCATTTATTTTTGCTGAGGCAGAGTATTCCCTTATAAGAATGTGCTACAATGTGTCCATTCTTTTTTTAGTCTACATTTATTATTTAAACAGTGCTACAGTAAACATCCTTGTAATTGGAAATTTTGGCCAATTATTTCTAAAGTTCTAAATACTTGTAATTGCCAAGTATTTCTGAAGTACACAATTAAAAGTGAAACAACAGGTTTTAGGGTTTTGTGTCTTTGCAACTTTATGATTATACCAACAAATTGCTTTCCAACGTGGATGTGCCACTTTACACACCCGACATCAGTGTCTGAAAGTTCCAGTTGTTTTATATCCTCACCAGTGCTTGTTTTTATCAGATTTTAAAAGTTTTTTTTTTATCTAAGTGAAGCAGCATGTAATTGTTTAAACATACATTCCTCTCATTATTACCGAGGTTGACCACTTTTTCATATGCTTATTTGCTATTTGCCATTTGTTTTCCTCTGAAGGAAGTGCCTACCACTTTACTTCCAGTGAAGTATCTGTTTATGTTTTTTTTTTCTTTTTTCTTTTGTAGTTTTAAAATCTTATTTTATAAACTGGAGTATTTTGTATATTCTTGTATTAGTCCTTTGTCACCTACGCAGGTTGCATATCTCACTCTGATACACAACTTATCTCTTACCTTGTAATAAGTCTTGATATCTGGTAGGACAGTATTCCCAAACTTCTTTAACATTGCTTTGTTGGTTTCTGTTCTTTAATAAT